TTTCTTTTTTTTTCTTCAAAAAATTGCAAGTCTGTTCATTATGTTACGGGATAAAAGTAACAGCAACGATTAACTAATAAACCAAAGCATATATATATATTATGACTTTTTTTTTTTTTCTTCATCCCTTCTTTTCGCTTCGCTGATCTTTCTTATCGATATAAGTAGAACAAGTGAAGTAGGTGGTGGTGGTGGTGGTGGTGGTGGAATAGAGAATGGAAAAGAAGAAGAATGTTGTTTTCAAAAAAAAAATTTTAATTTTTTTTTTTTCTTTTTTAGAGCATAGAGCAAAAGTTGAATTGATTCTTGGAATAATAACCGTCAGCCATGTAGCTAATCTTCAAAACAGCACCGAATCATTCACCAAGTTGGAGAAGTATTCCTCATCAATAGGTATCATGACACCGCCTCAACCCTTTAGTTGATATGAGTTATCCAAAAAAAATTTGTTTGAAAAAAAAAAGAAAGAAACAGGACAAAACAAAAAAAAAAAAATAAGGAAAAAAGTTTTTTGATACTTTTTCATCCGTTTTTCGTATTTTTTCTTTATTTAGCAAATACCCAATTTTAGTCTTGTTATTATCAAAATTCAATTTATTCAAAATTATCAAAATTCAATTCATTTTTTTTCACACACTTTCAATCTGCAACTTCTTACTCAGATTTTTCTTTCCGTCCCTTTCCTACGAGCAAATTTTATGTCTGTGCTTAGTGGTATTCCGTTTTATTTTAACAACATTCATTTCTTCTTATTTTTGTTTCTTTTTTTTTTTTTCAGTTTAATTTACTCGCAACATGTTTATTTTTTCTGTCCTCTTTAGTCATTTTTCTCCCCTTCTACTTCATCATCAATTTTATATAAACGAATTGTTTATAGATGAGCAGATTTATCCTTGTAGTCTTTTTTTGACAACTAATTTGGATGTAACATAACCATTTTTGCTATACTTCTTTTTCCATTTTTTTTTTTTACTGCTTGCAAAATCGAAAAAAAAAAATTCTCTTTCTTCTTCGCTATTATTTATTGTTAGACGACTGAAATGCTAAAACTTGGCCAATGATTTTGTCAAATTGACAGTGACAGCAACAGTCTATCATCATTACTAACGACGAGGATTATATAGATAAAATAAAAGTGTATTAACTTCGACAGCAAGCTTCAATGAGAGCGACAACGCCAATTTATATCTTCTGTTTCCAATTAATAACTATACTGTTGATTTTCAAAGCGTTCATCGTTCCTCTGCCCAACCAAATATACCACCTTGGAAGTCACTTGCAAGTATCGGTGAAAACAACCAAAAACCATAAATTTCCTTTAGTTCATAGAAAACAATCAGAAACTACAAATTTCATTCAGTTCATTGCAGTTTTTACTTCAAACCAAAATTCCAAAATGT